CTCCTCACCTTTAGGCGCACCCTGAAAACCATCTCTTCAGGGAAGCCTACCCCGCCCTCACCTAACAGCCGATCTCCTCGACTCCTCCCACCACTCCATCCCCCACAGCCACTTCCTTTTGTACCACTATCCCCTCCCTCCTAGATTGTAAGCTCGAAAGAGCAGGGCTCTTGAATCCCTCGTGTTCTGTTTTGTTACTGTATTGTCTCATGTACTGTCCCCCACTATATTGTACAGCGCTGAGCAAACCTTATAGTGCTATATAAATACTGTATAATAATAATAATAATAATGGACCGGGTTTCCAAGATGGAACGTGTTCGGAGCATGCTCACTCCTTCGTCAGGCCGGAAAAACTAGCTGTAAGAGCAATAATTTCTCCTTCTCTCTGGCTGCATTCTTGCAGCCATTGAGACATACTGTGTGAGCTGTGATTGGTCACAGCTTGTCACATGGTACAAGGCTGTTGTGAACAGCCTTGTACCTGTGACCTCTGTGATCATTCACAGATTTCACTAGTAGTAAGCAATGATGTCAGAAAATGCCATCTTGCTTACACCTATTCATGTGATCACTGATTGGCCAATCAGTGATCACATGATCGGGACCTCACACAGAGATCCCGTTCAGTGATCGGTGTTCCGCTATGTCTGGAGGACACAGCCGGCACCAGATCGCGGTGCCGCGCTTCCAGGGAGCACGCACAGTCTAAAATGTCAGGCGCCGTTTATAAAAGACAACCCGCTCCTGCACTGCCACGGGAAGTGGTTAATGTAATTGGATGGACTCTGACTTCTAGAAGAGTTCAGAAAAAAGGATTTTTAATGGATTGGTGTCTGAATTACTTCTGTTTTTTTGAAATATCAATCAGAGGAATGATTCACCGCTACAGTGACTCACTCCGCTTATAGGGTCACATAATGTGTGACACGAGGATGTAAAATGTGACAGCCGAGGATGGTTCTACCTGAACGTATTGTGTAGGGTTCTCAGTAACACAAATTAGGAATGTTACAATGGATCGGTCCCAGGGAAAAAAATGATTGACCTTCAGTCTGGCTGACAGTTGATAGACTCCCTGCTTCTGGCACCCACTTCATAGACAGACTTGTCGTGTACTCTATGCCCACCGTCCATGAGTCATTTTTTTCTGAGTGTGGTTTTTTTTTTAGATTTAATTGGCTTTAAGCCTCAACTGCAGAAAATGCTACCCAGGAGAAAATTCACATGAAGACCAAAAAAAAAAAATAAATTATAAATGTATTTCTCTCAAAATCTAAAACTGGAACAACTTAATGCATATGCGTATTGAAATATGCGTATGTGAACGGTCCCATCTACCAACAGATTTTTAATTCTGCACAATCACTTTTGCGATGAACCATACATATCAGCCAGAACACAATGCCAGGAGGATGACACTGCTATCCCTGTAAGGGCTCATTTACACTTGTTTTACTCTCTGATCTGCGGTGGACTGCTTTTTTTAGACAGGCAGCTTGGAGGGAATATGTCACCTTCTGGATGCCTGTATGAAAGTGTTACTAAACCCAAGACCCTGCATTCACTATATCTGGTCTTCCTGGACCCTGCATTCACTATATCTGGCCTCCCCAGACCCTGCACTCACTATGTCTGGCATCCCCGGACTCTGCATTCACTATATCCGGTCTCCCCGGACTGCATTCACTATATCCGTCTCCCCGGACCCTGCATTCACTATATCCGGTCACCCCGGACCCTGCATTCACTATATCCGGTCACCCCGGACCCTGCATTCACTATATCCGGCCTCCCCGGACCCTGCATTCACTATATCCGTTCTCCCCGGACCCTGCATTCACTATATCCGGTCACTCCAGACCCTGCATTCACTATATCCGTCTCCCCGGACCCTGCATTCACTATATCTGGCCTCCCCGGACCCTGCATTCACTATATCCGGTCTTCCTGGACCCTGCACTCACTATGTCTGGTCTCCCCGGACACTGCATTCCCTATATCTGGTCTCCCACATTACACAGAACATGGAAATGCAATTATTTTAGTAAATATAAACTGCTAAGAACCTTTTCTCATCAGAAGTTAGAGAGTCTTGTGACTTCTATCAGTGTCCAGCAGAGCACTGGTTAAAGCTTGGAGGAGATTTCATTCTCCTCACTGTCCTATGAGACTGCAGGACCCCTGACCCTCTGTCTGGATAGCGCTGATTGACCATGTGCTGATCTCATGCACTTTACCAAGAAAAAAAACAAAAACTCTCTAGCAATACACACCAAACTGAGCATGTGCAGCTTGCCCCAAGGCTCTGTTTTATCAGGAGATGAGTCAGCGGAAGTTGAGGATCAGAGAAGGATCAAACAGCGTTTTTACACAATGCAGAGGGTTAACCCCTTAGGTTCTACAGTGAGTATAACAAGCATGCTTTACTGCATATACAGACTGATTGTACTGTTGTGGGTTTAGGAACACTTTAGGCCATAAAGGCTTGCTGCACCACACCGCAACCTCATGCATTACAAGCGGTCGCAGGGTGCTTGCAGTGCAACCCTAATCACTTGAATGGGTCTTGTTTAGTAGAGGTACTGCCTGCTGCAACAAATGTTTGCTGCTCCATGTGTACCACCCTCTATGGCCATGAGGTGGGTGGTCGGGGGAGTTAACAACACAGCTCAACTGCCTATTTTTACCACCCCATGGCTGCAAGTGTAAACGAGGCCTAAAAGTAAAATAATAAAAAGCAGTGTCACTTCCCCACTCTAGCATGCTGAGTGGATGATGAATGAGCAGCAACACAATGATCAAATAAATCTGTTCACTATGTTCTCTCCTGCTGTCAGCATGTTCAATGTCAGCACATGGGCACTAAAACAGAGGTTTATTAAAGCAGATCTACACTGCATCTGAGCACTACAAACCAAAAATGCTGCTCATTTTTAATATTCAAAGAAAACTCACCCATCCATCCTTTCATGACTCCATGCTTTATTTTGCTGAGAAATCACTTTGAAAAACACCCCCTAGCATTTCTAGTTGTGACCATCTTAAATAAGGGCAGAGGATTCATTTAACATTTACACTTACTTTCTGGAATCCATTTGCCTTTACCTCAGGCATATAGGCAGGAGAGCTTCTGATACCTTCAACCCACCCCTGCCATAATCTTCTGATGCCTTCAATCCTCCCCTGCCAAAGTCTTCCGATGCCTTCACACCACCCCTATCATAATCTTCCGACGTCTTCACCCCTCCCCTGCCATAGTCTTCCGATTCCCTCACCCCTGTCCTGCCATATTCTTCCGATGCCTTCACCCCACCCCTGCCATAAACTTCCGATGCCTTCACCCCACCCCTGCCATAATTTTCCGATGCCTTCACCCCCACCCCTGCCATAAACTTCCGATGCCTTCACCCCACCCCTGCCATAAACTTCCGATGCCTTCACACCTCCCCTGCCATAATCTGATGCCTTCACCCCACCCCTGCCATAATCTTCTGCTTTCACCCCACCCCTGCCATAATCTTCTGGTGCCTTCATCCCTGCCTGCAGCGGTCTTGAAGGAGGGCAATTTTGATGCATCTTTGATCCAACTTTACACTCTTTTAGCACCAAGTTGCATCAAAAGTCACATCAAAGTAGTGCAGGCAACTTTTCCAAGTCGCACAGATCTGAACAGGTGCCAGTGAAAACAATGGCTGCCACTTTGCAACTTTGTGTCAAAAGTCACGACAAGTCGCACAAGTGTAAATGAAGATGATGTGAAGGGGGAGAGGACACTGTGTGTATGTTGGGGGGTAATAGGAATGGGGGCAGAGGACATGAAGTGGTGTATTTTGGTTTTGTACTGCTCTAGGCAAGACTAGAATCGGGTGCCCCCCATCTGAATTTGTCCCAACCCTTTCTGTTTAAGATCCACCCCTTCAGGACAGGACAGGGGCAGCGGGACAGGAGTGGAGAAGCACCAGTCCTCCAACAAGCTCTTACCTGTCCAGCAGTGGCTCCTCCAGATGGTGTCAGGATCTGGTGCCAGGAGCAGTAGCTGAGCCTGTGTCCCATCTCCACCAGGATCTCCAGCACCAGCTGCAACAAAGAGCGGAGGGGGGGGCCTTTCCTCCTCCTACACAGGCCGTCCGTTGACACCCGCTGGCCTCACCCACCCCACTGCACACTGCAGATCCTGACTGAAGCCTGCCTGACAGCGGGTCCTGGCCCCCAACCACTCCCTGCACACACACCAGAGATCCGCCAACGACTCAGCCCTCCTCTGCAGCCGGTCCCTCCCCTCCCCTCCCCCAATGTCAGCTCTGCCACTCACACCCACGTGTGTCCCTTCTGTCTAAGGGTGTGCTACCCCCATGTAAAATGCCGCCCAAGGCAAATGCCTTGTTTGCCTCTCTGTAGATACTCCCCTGGGACATGGCTGGGGGAAGTGATGTGAAAGAAGTACGCCAGAGTGGATGGTAATGTGAAGGGGAAACTTTGATGTGAATTGGGGGATTGTGATGTAAAGGTGGGGAAACTGATATGCAGGGGGGGCTGAGGCCACCAATGTAAGATCAGGATTGTGATATAAGAGAAGAGAGGCTGTGATGTGAAGGATGGCACATGAGATTTGGACCTCGGATAGAAAAAAAACATTTTACTGATGGGACCTCTGTGAATTTTAAATCTGTACACCTGGTCTAGAGGAAGGTAAGACAAAACAGGTTTTTAATATTTATTTCCTAGGAAGTAGGATTTACAGCTCCTTATTTAGTTGTCCACCTCTGAATCCTTTCCAAAACTCATTTGTCTGTATAACAATTTAGAGCTTCAAACTATGCCCCCCCCCCATATTCTGAGGGGTGAGATGATGGCACACTGCAGTCTCTGGGGGTATACAAGAAGCAACCCATCTACTAATTAAATATCACTTTTGGGTGGATTGACCCATTAGATATAAATACTGCAAAACCTATTCCCATTCACAATTTATAATTCATTCAGTCTCTCTTCCACAGATTGGCCAAGGCTACTCTGACACTAATTCCTCTTTTTGGGATTCATGAAGTTGTGTTCATCTTTGCCACAGATGAGCAAACAACAGGAACTCTGCGATATGCCAAAATCTTCTTCAACCTTTCTTTCAGCTCTTTCCAGGTGAGCTTAGCAAGAAGTAAAAATGTGGATCATTTACACAAAGGTGGCCATTTATAGAAAAAAAAAATTGAGAGCGATTTGTCGTATCATGTGTGTTTGTTCTGAGGAAATTCCAGCAAAAGCAAACGGTACTAGGCTATTTTATTGGCACTTGAGTATTTATTCAATATGATCATCAGCTACATTGAGGAGTCATAATGTGGTATTGTCCTGATTCATGCACTTTGCATGAATGATGAACACCTGTCCTGGAGAGGAAATAGCCTAGCAACATCAGTTTTTGCCCCATTTGCACAGAACGGACGTACATGCAGTTTCATAGCCTGAAATAGCTCTGCTAATTTTTTCATAAATACACATGGCTTCTCTACAACTGTCTAGCTTTCTCCTCCAACCAACATACCAGGTTCAACAAAACACACTCAATACTTTCCTCCTTTGACCCTGTAACCACTGGGGAAGTGACCACACTCTTTTCTGAGGCCCATCTCATCCCCTCACAACTACTACGGCCCCTTTCCTGCTCTATCCTACACCTCTCTAAGCCATATCTTCAATCTCTCCCTCTCCATGGGCACCTTTCCCTCCCCTCTAAAACATGAAGTGGTTACCCCCATACTTAAAAAAAAAAAAAAAAAAAAAAAAAAACCCTCACTGGACCCCACCTGTTTGAGCAACTTGCGACCCATCTCTCTGCTCCTGTTTGACTCCAAACCTCTTGAACACCTTGTCCACAACCGTATGAGTTGGTACCTCATAGATAGCAACCTTCTTGACCCCCTACATTCTAGTTTCCAATCACACCATTCCACTGAAACTGCCTTTCTAAAAATAGCCAATGACCTACCAAATACTCCATACTGTTAATTTTAGACCTTTCCGCTGCCTTTGAGGAGAAGCAGGAGGTCAACTGTATCAAAGTCCACTCCCTTGGCCTTCATAACTCTGCTCTTTCCTGGTTCTCCCCCTACCATTCTCATCGCACCTTCAGTGTCACCTACAACTCCATCTTCTCCATCTCTTTCTGTTGAGGAATCCCAAGGCTCTGTCCTTGGGCGTCTTCTATTCTCTCTATACACCTCTTCCCTGAGACAATTGATAACCTCCCACAGCTTCCAATACTACCTCTTTGTCAACGACAATCAGATATTTCTCTCTATTCCCTAGCTCACCCCTTCAATCTCCTCACATATCACAAATTTAGTGAGTGACATATCAGTATGGATGTCACACCATTTTCTCAAACTAAATCGGTCTAAAACTGAGCTTGTAATATTTCCTCCTAACCCAACCTCCCCCCACCTCAATACTTTACCATTGAGATCAACAGCACAACTCTTAGTCCCTCCATGCATGCCAGGGTGCTAGGTGTGATCCTAGACAAGGACCTCTCTGTTGGGTCCCACATCCATTCCCTGGGTAAATCTTGGCACCTGAACATTATTAATATTTCTAGAATTTGCCCATCTTAACGACACCACAAAACAACTTAGTCATTCCCTGGTTATCTCCCACCTTGACCACTGCAATTCCCTTCTCATTGGCATACTTTTACACAGGTTATCACCCTTTCAGTCTATTATGAATGCTGCTGCCAGACTCTCAACAACTTACTAACTGATCCTTGGTTGCTGTCCCTCTCCGCCAATCCCTTTACCAGCTTCCACTAGCCCAACATATAAAATCCAATACTAATATAGCATAAAAAACCATCCACATCACCAAACTCATCTTCACATATCGCCCAAATTTTCCTCTCCACTCCTCCCAGGACTTCTTGCTCTTTTAGCTCCCTTGTTACCTCCTCTCATGCTCATCTGAAGGACTTCTCCAGAACATTTCCCATCCTCTGGAAATCCCTACCAGTATGGCCAGTTATCTCCTACCCTGTCCGCCTATAGGTGATCCCTGAAAACTCATTTATTCAGGGTAGCCTACCCTACCTCCACCTAAAAAACAGACTTTGGCCACCTCTATCAGTTCATCCCCTGCAGCTATTACTATTTCGACAACCTTCCCCTCCTTTTAGATTGTAAGTTCCATGAACAGGGATCTCCTAATCCTTCCGTATTGAAACATATTGTGAGTGTACTGTCTTCCTTTATATTGTAAAGCACTGCATAAACTGTTGGTGCCAAATTAATCCTTCATAATAATACAAACTGCAATTTCCTCTGTTTGATGCATTGAGGATATTGGAGTACACGAGCAGGGGGGGCGATTCTATATTAGTCTGAACCAACATGAATATGTAGCTAAAACTACAACCTTTCACTCTCTTTCAGGGTTTTCTGGTCTCTGTGCTGTACTGCTTTGCCAATAAAGAGGTGAGTGAAAGCAAGCAGCTGTTAGAATCCAGGTACATGCTGTGGATATCTATGAGCAGCAACAACCTATTCATAGGTGTGCACAGCCTATGACATTAGGGTGTGCACCCCAAAGCTTAAACACACGTGTGTGTGTTTACATATATATATATGGCCCCGGCCCAATGATTTCTCTGTCAATACAGTGAAAGAACAGTGCATAATCACTTATCTTATGACAGAGCTGGTAAGAGGGAGTTCTTTCCAATCTCTCACAGTGATAATTCGAATGCGCACTGGGTGATTAGGGTGCGCCTAGGCACAATCGACACTCTCTGTGCGCATGCCTATGAACCTATTCATTCCCATACAGAAATATGAATGAAGCTGACTGTACATGTTAAAGCCTTTTAGATCTAGCAACAGCCATTCAGAGCTGTTGAGTGGGTACAAATATAGTGAATGGTGTAGATAGGCCCTAACATTGTATAGTTTTGGTAGCTGCAAAGTAGACTGTACAGTCAGATTGTAATGTGTATGATCGGCTTAAAGAAGTACTGTATCCAGGCTACGGACATTAAAATCTTTACATATTCTTAATAAGTAGTAAATAAGCTTTAAGATAAGAAGACCTCATTGACCTCTGTAGCTGCAGACACTGAAGTAATTCAATCTCTAAGTTCATCAGATGCTCTGAAGTCAATCAGGTCTGGTGTCAGCATTTTGTCCTCTCCCCTCTTCCTATGCATCCAATCTGTGTTTACATTAGAAGTCTGCTGAGTCCAGGGGTGGACTGACCATTTGGAAACACGGGCACTGCCCGAGGGCCCAGGTCAGTAGGGGGCCCCATGAGATGCCCCTGGTACCTTTTTCATAGGCTTTTTTGAGTTTGGGCAAGAACACAGGGGCCCATGATCCCCTATTGCCCGGGGGCCCCATGAGTTGTCAGTCCACCCCTGGCTGAGTCGCTGCTGGGAGGGGGAGGATCAAGGTCAATTGAGCTGTGGAGTCACAGGTTCAGCTGAGCTACTAAGTCACTGCTAGAAGGGGCACGAAGGGTCAGCTAAATTGTGGGCTCACTGCTAGGAGGGGGAGTAGAGTGAGCTGAGTTGTTGAAAATCAAAGTTAAACAGTATTTGCTGTAAACTTGAAGGATGAATTACTCCACAATACTTGCTGCTACAGAGGACAGTTAGGGCTTGTATTAAAGCATCTGTAAAGTGAAGGAAATTGGGTCAGGAAATTATATCTGAAGGTTAATATAAACGCCACAATTATACGAATAAATGGTAAATAGCATACAAGTGTAATTTATTCTAAACCTGAAAGAGATGCAAATTATACATCAAGCAGCAGAGAGACCAAAGTGAGATGTCTGTTGCCACCTCCCTCGAGATAAAAATTACCTTACTTTATGGTGGGAGAGACCTTGTTATCTAGATTGAAAATATTCCAGCAAGGTTAATCATCCATTTTAAACTCTTTTGGACTTTATTATTGCCCAATTATACAAGATTGATTTTTTTCTTTTACAAGAGACACTTCCAATATTAAATAATCCTTTGTAGGATATTGTAGCTTTTCATGCACATTGATAGGCAATCAGTGTTCAGCGATTGGAGTGAAGCTATAATCTATGGGGTTTTTTTTCCACAAGAATTTACAGTATATTGATAGAGCTGTGGAATTGTAACAACCTGAAATAAATTAGATTAAAGAGGCTCTGTCACTTTTGTTCTCTCGAAAGATTTTCCTAAGATCCTCAGTGTCATCTACTGACCAGAATGCATTTCTCTGAAATATTGTATTCAGGAAAGTACCACATTATGACCACTAGATGAAACGGATGATCATAGTAAGCCAATATATTTAAAACTTGAATATAAAGTTTTGCAAGTAAAGCTATGTAAAACATTAAAAAATAAGTGCCTATACTGTTTAAAACCCAGTAACACACTATCTCACTCTGCTATGCACATGTTCAGTTGCTCTCTATTTTTGGCACTGTGCCGAAAATGTAGAGTGCAATCTGCTGACTTCCTGAAGATTTACTGCTGCTCAGGGGCTCTGGGCTTCAGCAAAATGGCAGCCTCCAGCAAGAAGATACAGGAACAGTCCTGGAGGCAGTTTAGCACACATTTTAGTTTTGGTAGCAGGAATGTATGTTGCTTGCTAAAGAACATTATTATTTATCAAGTTGTTATTGGTAAAATTCCACTTTAAGTATTAAAAAAAAAAAAAAAAAAAAAAAAGTATTCTTTAAATTTTAGTTTTGGATAGAGTGGAGAGGAATTAGACAGGGTGAATTTCCCTAACATGGACACAGTAATAAAAAATTGACCGGTGTTCTATTTGTCTACTGCTAACATCTAAATTGAAAGTTCCCTGAACAGCAAGAGGGAAAATCATTTAATGAGGACACTAGTTCTGGTGACAGCCAGGGAATCCCTCACTTTGAAGAGATTTCCTCACTTCCTGTTTTGTACATTGCACAAGAAGTAGAGGGAAATCTCACCAATGGGACACAGATTGCAAAATACTTGACAGAGGTTATAACCCTCTTTTTCCAAAATTAAAAAAATAAATAAATAAAAAAAAAGTTAAAAAAAAAAAAAAAAAAAAAAAAAGTGTTTCTCTATAGTTTTAGACTCCATAGTGTTGGCGCTTAGGTTGGTTGTACAGAAGTTGATTGGCAGATTGACTTCTGTACAACCACTGTCCCCATGAATGGATTGAAATTTGGCGGGTCCCTGCTGAACCGTCTGAATTTCGATCCATGTATGGTTGGCTTTACATTGAGTAATTGTGGTCCTCCTCTTCCTTTTTTGAGTGTTTCAAGCTTGGCGACTGCATGCAGAAGCCTGAGCACTGCGATGTGGGAGGAGGTCATCTGCTCCCCCATACACAGAAGCACCAGGTATTTGTTGAGAGCTCTAGCACAGTGGAGGAGCATGAAATAGACAAGCATCCATTCACAGGGCTTTTTTTTTGCCAAGAGAACCTGTTAATTAGTTTTGATTGGGCAGCGACAGATTTTTTTTTATAACTACATAGACTTGTCTGTATTTTCATCCTTTATAGGTCAGGTATGAGATACAAAAAAAATGGCAGATGTGGAAACTGAACAGGCCATCCTTTTGCCTTCAATGACCAATCATAATGACATTGGACGCTTTGTGAGCCTGTCATCATGGAACTGAGGGGTGTTGGCTCTAAATTGACAGAACTCCATTCTATCATTGATACTGGACACAAGTGACTACTCTGCTCCTGATCTTAGGCCACTCTAACAATGGTGGTCATTAGCCTATTAAAAAGCCAGCACTCAGTTAATATAGGGTGCTGGGCCTAGGCGTACAGTGTACCAACACAACATCTCCAAAGCCATTCAACCAATTGTACAGAAAATGTAAAAATGGCTGACCCCGTCACTTCTAGACCTGGAATATTTGAGCCATTGGACAACTCCGTAACGAAGGAATATGCTGGATTTGAAGAGGGTTCGATGGGATGAATGTTACATTTTATATTGTTTTTTTTTTACATGGTGTGTGCCATTACAGTGCCAATATTTTTGTGATTGGTTTCCTCATGCAAAAAAAAAGTTCATTTTCCTCTCGTGAACTGAAGAAGAGGAAAAAAAAACAAAAAAGCTAAAAACTCACATGGAGCCAGCTTAAAATAAACTCTGGGATAAGCAGACATTATCTAAATACAAGAGGCTTGTGTATTCTTCCTTGACATTGGTGTGCTTTGTGTATTACTTCCAGATCTGTGCAGTAATCCAGTGTGAAGCGTTCCATCTGTGTGGGAGCTTCCTGGAATAAAGCCCGGTTATTGCTGCTCTCTCTCCTTGTGCAGGTTGACTGGTCTTGTCTGCGCACCCTGCTATAGATTTCCGCAGGCAACCTGTAGTGGGTAAAGCTCCAGAGACCCTGCAATAGCTCTGCTCAGGGTGTTGTGCAGTATAGCGATGATGGCACTGCTGTTTTTACAACATAATATCTGGGTTTGCAGACAAAAAAGTGTATTTATATCCTTTGTGGCTATTAAGGGAAAACATTTAAAAAGTGTATACTAAACCCACAACAGTAAAATCAGTCTGTATATGCAGTAAAGCATTCTTGGTATACTCACTGTGGAACTGAAGGGGTTAATCCTTTGCATTGGGTAAAAAAAGGATGTTTGATCCTCCCACTTTCACAGTCCTCATCCATCTGCTGTTAGGACAGGGCCTGGAGGTCAAGCTGCACATGCTCAGTTTAGTGTGTGTTGCTAGTTTTTTTTTTTTTTTTTGTGCATGTGCATGGGATCAGCATAGGGCCAATCAGCACTGTCCAGACAGAGTGTCAGAGGTCCTGCAGCCTCATAGGACAAGCAGGGGAGAATGAAAACTCCTCCTACAAGCTTTAACCAGTGCTTAGGGCTCTCATGCACATCGCTCGGCTCAGTAAGTATTGCAAAAGCTGCATAAAGGTACAAAAAAAAACCCAACCCCCCCCCCCCCCAAAAAAAAAAAAACCTTGAGCCTTTACAACCATTGTAAGCCAAGCTCCACTAAATAGCTGGCACCAAGCTGGTGTAATACATGTGGCCGCAGTCAGCTCTGTGAAACTGAATGTAGCAGGAGCTACATATGGTACACAGCACTGTGTTCTGGCCGTAGTACGGGGACCTCCTGTCTGCTGCCAGAACAAAATTAAAGTTGGGCGGAGCACTACTTAGGCATTCACAGGAAACTTTGTATTTTTCTTAAATTAATACAAGGCTGTGAATGGCTGGAGGTGGAAAGGCAGATGGACAATGTCATATTCACAGGAAGCCTTGTATTCATTCATAAAATATATGGCTTCCTGTGAATGGCTGAGCTAAGCTCAGCCTGACTTGATTTAATTCTGGGAAACAGACAAGAAGTCTCCGAACTGCTGCCAGAACAGAGCACTGCATCACTGATGATAAACATTTTATACAACAGTTGCGTATATTCGTAAAAGGTAAAAGTTTATTTCGGCCAGCTTGGCCCAAATGAACAATTAAAAGTGAAAACAAAGTTGTAGTTAGGCTCTAAGCTGCTTTTGGGGGGGTGGGTTGCTTTAGGGAATTGAAACCGTGAGCCAAAAGACTGTCCTGAGTACAATGTGGACATAACTGGGCTTTTTTGTCACCCTTCAATATTTGACTATTAAACATCAAGGGGTTTATTTACTAAAGCTGGAGAGTCCAAAAATCAGACTCCCGTTCTGCATAGAAACCAATCAGCTTCCAGGTTTCATTGCCAAAGCTTCATTGAACAAGCTGAGGTTAGAAGCTGATTGGTTTCTATGCAGAAGGGAGTCTGATTTTGGACTCTCCAGCTTTAGTAAATAAACCCCCAAGTGTCTAAAACAGAGAGCTGAGGAGGAAACAGAAAAATATCTTAAAAAAAAATAAAAAATAATAAAAAAAGAGTCCCCAGAAGGAATACTGTATCACTTATTTAAAATCTGCCACTTGCAGAATGAGGATAATCCAGCAACCAAATGCTTAATTAAGCTAGTCAGACTTTCCATTAAAAAACAGTCTTGTAGACCATCCCTGTCCCTTCCATCTACAAGCATCAGGATTGCTGGCCTTCACTGTTGCGTCTTCTTCCTGACGTTTCAGTAGAATATCACCGTAAGTTGCAGTCCGGCACCGTCAACCGCAGAAACCAGGAGATGCCCAATTCCCAGTTGGCCCATTAAGCGGAGAGCAAGGTGGAGGCTACTGTGGGCACCATGACCTGAGGTCTGTCATCTTCGGGGTGGAAAACGTCACCCATCGTCTGAGGTACAGTAAGAATGGCCCCTGGAAGAAGGTGGATAGAAAATTGTTGATCAAGGTTCATATATAAATATCTGGAAGAAAGGTTTTTGATTATATAAACTGATGTGGTCATTCAAGCAGTGAAAAGAACATTAGTAGTGTGCAAGGTGCAGCAGCCAAAATCCGTCTAACTAGCCTGACGGGAGTAAAATCAAATTGGATTGGTTGCAGAACCTAAAAAACTAAATATAGCTCTGGCTAAACTGTAATAATAATAATAATAATAATAATAATAATAAAAAAGTATTATTAAAAAAAAAAAAAAAAAAAATGTCCTCTGCACGCACTGACACTTTTTGGCCTCTATTTTGTGTCTAACGACACTAAGTTGCATATTTATAAAAACAAAAATTGCTATTTGTCATGTGAAACTGCATGTCCATTTATTCTATGCAAATAGAGGCAAAAACAAATATTAACAACCACAAAACAAGGAGAGCCTAATCCTGCAACAACGTGGGGGCAGGGGCGGACTGACAACTCATGGGGCCCCCGGGCAACAGGGGATCATGGGGCCCCTGTGTCCTTGCCCAAACTCAAAAAAGCCTAAGAAACAGATACCAGGGGCATCTCATGGGGCCCCCTACTGACCCCGGGCCCTCGGGCAGTGCCCGAGTTTCCAAATGGTCAGTCCACCCCTGCGTGGGGGTGAATACTTCACTCTGCTCCAGGACACCGTTCCTTGGACTTTCAGAGAATGATGTCAGCACCTTTTTGTCTTCGGAAAGATCACCCAGCCCAGAGAAGAGCTGTAGATGAATCCCTTTGACATCTCACAATTGTCTAGAGGGTTTTTGGAAAAAGCCATGTAAAAAACAAAAAAAAAATATGCAGCCAGCAGTGGCCTCAAAAGTGGAAGAAGGTGTATAAATAAGGATAGCATGGTGTTGGGCTTTAGAAGGATAAGTTCACCTTTCATACCCATATTCACGGTATAACATGTAACATGTTATGAATGGATCAACCCCTGCTTTTGACAGCAGGTGGGGAGAAAAGATCCCCCGCTAACTGGCAAACGGTAAAAAGATGCTGCCGAGCGGAACCCCGCTCGGCAGCGCCACTCATTCACGATCCTTTCTAAATGAGAAAACTGCAAGTCCCACAGCCCCGCTTGGCAGCGCCACTCATTCATGATCTTTTGTAAATGAGAAAACTGCAAGTCCCACGGCCCCCGCTTGGCAGCGCCACTCATTTATGATCCTTTGCAAATGAGAAAACTGCAAGTCTCACGGCCCCGCTTGGCAGCGCCACTCATTCATGATCCTTTGTAAATGAGAAAACTGCAAGTCCCACGGCCCCGCTTGGCAGCGCCACTCATTCATGATCCTTTAAATGAGAAAACTGCAAGTCCCACAGCCCCGCTTGGCAGCGCCACTCATTCATGATCCTCTGTAAATGAGAACACTACAAGTCCCACGGCCCCGCTTGGCAGCGCCACTCATTCATGATCATTTATAATCCTTTGTAAATGAGAAAACTGCAAGTCCCAGGGCCCTGCTCAGCAGCGCCACTCATTCATGATCATTCACGATCCTCTGTAAATGAGAAAACTACAAGTCCTGACAGCCTTAGCAGCTGTCGGCTTGTAGTTCTCATTGAACTGCCACGGCCCTGTGAGCACTGTGCTGCTTCATTTATTCTTCTTCTGTCAGTATATCTGCTTGCTCATACATCTCGTACGGCCAAGAAGATATACTGACAAGTCTGCAGGAGACCTGCATAGCATCAGCGTTCTGCTGATCGCTGGTGCAATGCTTTACAGGCTCCCGAAAGGTATCTGCAAAAAAAGTGCATTAGCTTCGAGGAAAGGGACTCATCCCCAAAACGCATCAGCAAGTGGACCACAGTGAAAGTCGGAACACCCTGCCCTCTGTTGTGGCCATCTCGATTTTCATACAATACTTTACAAGCATGCTATGTCTGGGAGTATGTTTTCGTCTTTTTGACTTTTTAATAAACCTTGGATAATGCACTAGGTGTTTGCACCACCTGTTTGCTTTCTTCAGTTGTTGATTTTCCTATCTAAGGAGGGCTGCATCCCTGAAACGTTATCCATAGGCCATCCTTTGCCCTGGTTCCCCTGCCTTCACTTTGGCAGTTGATCCCTGGAGCGCTGGAGAGTATACACGGTCATACATACATACATGTGATTTTGGGCAGCCCCGCCACCCTGTAGCAGTACTTCCACTATAGGGAGGGGGGCAAGCGGTTAATAAAATGCTGTTGATGACACACTAGGAGTTTGCACCCTTTTGGTTTATTCTGTTTATACAGTTCCAAGATTCCCCGATCTTAGGAGGGCTGCA